GTTTTTTTTAAATTCTCAATCATGTGTGTTCTGTGTAGGCTTTGTTACTGTTTCTTAGCACCACTTCTGGAACAGCACTGTTAATTAGAATCCAACAGTGAATGGTCGAGTGGGGAATCCTACCAAGGCATCAGAATTAATTTTAAATAATTAAATTAAATAAAAAAATCCCGGCCAACCGTGGGATTCGAAACTGGGACGCTTGGATTCGCAGGCAGAGAGTCTACCACTGAGCCACCCACCCCCAAAGTTATTGTTATTAGGAAATTTGTTATAGGAAAGCGATTTTATATCGAAATAGTTTATTTAAAAAATGTATACATTTTATTTATGTAAAAAATAAAAGAATAAAAAGAGGAAAAATCGAATTTTGTGATTTTTTTACTTTTTTGTTTTTCTGCGTTTTCTGAGCAGAGATAAGTATAAACATTGCTTTACATAAAAAACGTAGATTATATTTCCTTTAATTTTTTTAGCCGCTCAAACTTAGCTATTTTTTCAATTTTTAATTTTATACCAACCTAAAAAAAAATTCCGCTCTTTTGTTTATAGAAAAAAAATAAGGTACTCTGTTGGCTTAAGAACAGGCACGTATTGCGTTTTTGCATTAAAAAAAATTAGCAATGTAAAAATTGATAACGGCATAATTTTAGGCTCATTTTTGGCTATTTCTAGTTTGTACTAACATATAAAATTTTGCGCTTCTGTCTTTATAGGAGATATTAGCTACTCTGCTAGCTTGATATGAAGCTAGCAGAGCATCTTTGGATTTTTCAAATTTTGATTACGTCATAATTTTAGGCTTACTTTAGGCTAATTTTATACGAATCTAAAAAAATGTCCTTTCTCTATAGAAAAAATTAGGTTCTCTGCTGGCTTAACAGGTACTTATTGAGTTTTTCATTAAAAAAATAACAGTGTAAAAAAAGATAACAGCCTAATTTTAGGCTCATTTTAGACTAATTTCCACTCTGGTCTTTATCGGAAAAATTGTATGCTCTGCTAGCTTGACAATACGACTGTAAAATGTTTTCCGTTAATAAAATTGATGGAGCTAAAAAGTAGACCACATATTTTAGGTGAATTTTAAGCCAACAGAGTACATAATTTGGTTGGTTGGTTGGTTGGTTGGTTGGTTGGTTGGTTGGTTGGTTGGTTGGTTGGTTGGTTGGTTGGTTGGTTGGTTGGTTGGTTGGTTGGTATAAAATTAGCCTAAAATTATAAAGTTTCCATTTTTTAGATATTTCAATTTTTAAACGAAAAACTCTAAAAAGTCGTATTGTCAAACTAGCAGAGCACCTAATTTTTCAAATAAAGGCAATAGCAGAAATGATTTTATATTAATAACAAATTAGCCTAAAAAGAGCCTAAAATTATGTCGTGTCTATTTTTTATTTTCCTTAATTTTATTATCGGAAAACACTATAAAGTCGTATTTTCAAGCTACCATAGCGCCCAAATTTTCCGATAAAAGATTGGGTGGACATTTTTTTTGTTAGTTTAGAATTAGCCTAAAATGAGTCTAGTATTATGCCGTTATCATTTTTTTACATTCCTGAATTTTTTAATGAAAAACGCATAAGTGTCTGTTGTTAAGCCAACAGAGTACCTAATTTTTTCTATAAAAAGAGCGGATTTTTTTTTAGATTGGCATAAAATTTGCCTAAAATTAGCCTAAAATTAGCCTAAAATTAGCCTAAAATTAGCCTAAAATTAGCTCAAAATTAGCCTTAAATTATGACGTAATCAAAATTCAAAAAATCTAAAGGTGCTCTGCTAGCTTGATACGTATGTACAATTGTACTAAATTTGGTACATGTCTCACGGCAAAGTACAAAAGTGCGTTTTAAGTCAAATCAGGGACAACTTAGTACAATTTGAAATACTGATCGTCTCTGTGGGACAATCTATGTATCAGAAGCCTAAGTTTTCCGATATAAGGGTAAGTATTGTAAATATTGGCGGTATTTTCCCTAAAGAAAAGGGATTTTTACATAAGATCTATTCCAATAACGATCAGAAACCGTCACTGACTCCAGGATTCTACGCAGTAGATTATTGGGACCGCCAAATTATCTATTGCGCAGAATCCTGGCGTCAGTGACTGATTTATGACCGTACAATTTATTTTTACCTAGCTTGATAAACAGATAAAAACTTGCCTTTAAACTTGATTAAAATAATAAAATTTAAAACAAAACTATATTCATATTAACGTATCGGTATATTCCAGTGGTGTGTTCCAATTCCAATTTTTCAAAGTGCATAAGCAACAAAAACAAACAACGCCCATCCATCCTACAGTTGACATTCGACATGATTTGATATGACAACTGACAATATACGTGACAGTTTTGACAATTGACAGTACACCTAAAATTTAGTACAACTTATGTACATCCGAATTTTCTAGTACATTTCGAACTACCTCTATGGAAGCCTTGCACAAGTTACTAATTATACCAATGTAAACCTAGTAACCGACAAGTTTCCCGATTGTTCTCTGTTTAATTGTTTGAGTTTGATTATTTAACACTAAAATATGTTAAGTGCACGAACAAAAGCAATGGGGTACAGTAACAGCAAAAAATGTCATAAATGAAGTAGAAATAGATTAAAATTTTATAGTTTTTAACTTTGGAATGGAATTTAGTTGATGTATAAAAATAATACATACTTAGCACGTAAAGCAGAAAAATCAATCTTTTACGTAATATAAATATGTAATTATTATTTTTGTTTGCCTTGAAACTGATAAATTTGTATTCGCTAAAGTACCAAAGTTAAAATTATCTGCTGCTGTGTTGGCATTTTAAAATTTCCAAATGGGCTCAAATTTTGCTCTTATCGGAATAACATAATTTATATAAAAACAAGTACTCAGCATTAAACAAATAAACACCAAATATTATTTCATAAATGTAAAAATTCAAAAAATATCTTATCAGTTGTACAAAAATAGACATAATAGGTTTGGTAAAAAAATACAAAGATAAGTATTTTTGCTACTAAGCAGTTTGTATGTATTTATTTACAAAATAGAATAACAAAACCTTTCGAAACAATGACAATGTAGATAATTTGCGAAACAAAATTATAAAAACCTTATTTTAATTACGAAAAAAAAAAAATACATTGAACCCGATAATCATAAAAATGCGAAAGGATTACATTATTTTTGTAAACAGGAAATTCTATTATAAATATAAAATATTACAATCATCGATCTTTTTATTTTTATTGAGTAGGTAACTTTCCACATTAATAAATAAAATCAGAGGCGTGCGGTGAAATTGTGGACAATGGAAGCAAATGTCAAAAATTTACCTATTGGATTATTCTCTCATTTTTCGTAAATTCGTCTATAACTTGGTTATAAAAGCGTGGATACTGCGACATTTCCCTAACATGATTGTTTTCAATTGCTATAGTCTAAATAAAAGAATAGTAAAGTAAAAGTCGGGATATAACGTCACATTCCATAGGCGTACTTTGCAAAATAAGTTTTTATAATATAAATAAGGCCACGGCATATAAAATGGTATATTTGCACTTCGTAGACTAAATTTTGAATTAAAAAAGTTATATTATTTACAAACCTTATGCTTCTGACAAAATTGTTACACTTTAACATTAAACGAATTAAATGTAACCAATAAATAACTAAGAGGATTATGTTTTTTAATCTGGAATTAAAAGTAACACTTCAGTACTTAAAAAGAAAAATTAAAAGTTCAAGAACTATCTTTAAAAGTCACTATCGTCACTATAACTATTGGTATCATTATCATTGTCTTTTCTGAGGTTTATTATTAAGTTTTCTGGGAAAAAATTAAGCCGGCAACACCGTAATGCCAATGACTAAGCATATATCAAAGCTTTAAGTTAATCAGAACTAGCTCTCTTTATCCTCGGATTTCTATGAAATTCAAGATGGCCGCTATATGAAAAACAATTACTGAATGCATTACAAGGTACTTACTAATTAAAAGACAAAGAAAAAATGCTTAAATACTTGTTGTCCAAGGTGGCTTAAAATAAAAGTGTTGTTACATGAATTAGTATCTAAGGGGCACTTAAAGCAATAATTAAACAGTGAAATGCCACGCATTAAGGGTATGGCAAATCCTCACAATTCTTAAAGTTCCCCACCGTCTGTTTTGACAGATAAGTCAGATTTTATTTATTCATAGCTGTATCGTATATATTTTAATTTATTCGCAATTTGGTATTAGTATATATTATAATTTTTCAATTATATGAGAATAACGAGCGCATTAGAAAATATTTCAAACACAAATAGACGTAAACGTCCTAGTGGGTATAAAGCATTGTCTTTAGAAGAAAAATATATCGTACTTAATGTATTCTTCGAAAAGACTTTGTTTCACTTTCTGTGGATAAAATAGCCACTAAATGTGAGACCTATACTGAAGTATCTAAGCTGATCATGTATAACATTATTAAAGAAGATAGAGTTATTGAAGAAGTCTCACATCCGAAAAAGGTTTATTAATATTCAATAATCGTAGCATTTTCAGATAAATTTTAATTTTTTGGACTTATCCTCTTATTTTACTGATAAATGTTATACTAGTCAAGATATTTAAATTCCATTACATATTGTAAGATATCTTTCTTTACCTCAATCATTTTACGATAGTAGAGCAAAAGAATATTGAACATAATTATGAACAGGTATCCAAAAAAAATACAAATTGCTATAAATATAATATTTGTATCTAAAGGTGAGACAGATTTAGTTTAAAACCTTGACATTTAAGTTACGTAAATGAGGAAACTGTACATTTTATTTTTGTTGACCATTATTATTTATACTCGTTCTACGTCTAATTTTATTTTTTATTTTTAAATTTTATGTAATACCGAATATTAATAACTTAGTATACTATATTCCGAACAAAAGCAATCATTAAACCTTGTGCTTATGTCATCTTCAAAACAACTACTATAAAATAATTACTTTTTTTTTTTTTTAGAAAAAAGTGAAGAAGGAAGAAGCATATTCAAGACTGAATCTCGCAAAAATTAATCAAAACTGGCATCAAATTTTACGCAAGGCAAAATGTCAAGAAATGAAAAATAATGTTCAGGTAATGATTTAATTTGCTCTTTTTATAAATCTGAATTAATAAATGAGTATAATCATAGTGGAAAGGTAATAATTGTAAAATTGAAATTTTTGTTCCTGCAGTATTTTATTAAAGTTTTGCGGTATGCAGACTGTATAGTAAGTTTCTCGACTACCTATTGTATACCAGATGCGAATAAATTTTTAATACAAAAGTCGTGGGACGATATTGTACAATTACCATTAAGTCTGCAGGGTAGTCCATAAGTAAGGGGCAAGCCAAAGTTGTACTTTTTTAGATCAAACCATCTAGGCAACAGATTTGGTTGTTTTCACATCGTTAAACAATTTTAATAGACTTAAAATTCCTAAAATGTTATTTGATGTATACGTTGTGTGACTGAACGTGAGATTTTGATATTTTAAATTTTTCCAATGCAATATCCTTTTATTATTCATAAATATATTTCCTAATTTTGTTATTTTGCTTGGCATTCCCTATGTCCAAACACATTTTTTCTCAAAATTTTGATGGTTTTATCATAAAATTTAGCATTTTTCCAATTCTAATTGGCTTTACAAACTTTGGTCAGTTACAAAATAGGTAGTGTTGAAATACATTCAACATTATATTCAATACACATTCGACATAACATTTAATATAAATTCAACGTTACATTTAATATACATTCAGTATTTCTAATTTACGAATAACCCCTACAGCCGTCCCTGTAGCCTGTACTATCTCAGCCGATAAATACGTTCTCTAACAGATTTGTTAAAAATTACTACGTCAGCCTTAAGCTCGCTTGGGGGCTTATCATCGACTTTTACTGCTTCATCGACATTCAAGCACACAACATGCGTGTCCCGTAGTGGAAAGGGACGCTGTGCCCGCCATTATGTAAAATATAAAATAAATTAACCAACACACAAGAAGGTATGATCGACAATACTTGCTAGTAATTGTTTTCATGATCTAAAATTATTTTTAAATCATATGTTCGAAGGTGTTATAGATAACGAAGGAGATAGTGATAATAATGATTGCTAATTCGTGCTATTAAATATTAATTTCACAAAAGACAAAGTAGCATACGTTAAATAATTGTTCAGAACTTTTTGCAATATTTAAAATGTTTTTGAATAGTGCTACCCTACAGAACTGTATGCAAATGTTTATATTGACAATCTACCATATAAACTTTATATTACATCAGTTTTTAATTATTAAATAATTCTTCTGAGTAATTACGAAAAAGTACATGCTTAAAAACTTACCACAACGCATGCGCACGCCGCGATTGTTTGCAAAGTAGTTTTTCGTGGTCTATTTACCAAAAAAATAATGCTGTCAAAAAGCATACGTTTAAACTGTTCTTCAATACTTCTTCTTTTTTACATGTTGTTTTAAAAATAATTTTCTGGAAAAATACTATAGTGTGTGGCCAAAAAAGTATAAGTCAAAATTGTGGGTAAATTAGTTTTACTCATCTATATTTAGTGTAACGGTTTACCAACTTCTTAACACTACTTCGATGAAGAGCTTCAGGGTGCAGGAACTAAAGAGTCTAAGATGGTCAGGAGTCAAGAGAGCGAAATTTGTTTGCTCCTTCGTATTTATGTCTTCCCAGCAGACGAGCTCGATGTCTGCGTATTTTTGGAGTGGGAGAAACCACCTCCAGTTTTGACTATTTACAAATGATGAAATAAAAAATGCCCTTCTGATATACAGCATTCAATATAAAAACCGATACACGTCATTAATCAGTTGTGAAGTCATGGCCTTGCAGTGTTGCCCAATCTTCAAAATAGTCTAAGTTAGGAATTTTTAAAACTATGAGGTTATGTTTTTTTGGCTATGTTATTAGGAACAATTAATTTTAATGTATAATGAATTCTATATAAAAGCCAATGAAGGTCATTGATAATGTTTAAATTGAAGTTTTAGAAAAATACTGAATTTAATAGTAATAAATTTTGCGCAAGAGGTTTAAAATGACAAAAAAAGGTTAGGCTAAGGATGAAAAAACAAACAAAGTTTATTTAGGCTTGATTTAATTTACAATAAAAAATAATTATGTTCAGTTAGTTTATAAACATCCATATTTAAAAGATGTAACAATAATTAGAACAGTTAGGTAATAAAATTAACAATACATGACATTTTAAAACTTAAATAATATTTAAGCTAAAATCAGTCAGAATAATCAGCACTAAAATCAGAATCATCTCTATTTGGTGTTATAATAATGGGAGCAATTTCCAATCGGTCCAGTATATGCTCTCTTTCACACCATTTAAAAATTTCTTTTTCAGTGTGTCTTACACTGTTTGTCCACATTTGTGGGGTAATAGTTCGGAGTGCTTCAGACCACATGTCTATACAATCTCTTTGGGTCTTTCCATCCCGACCAATGTGCCTGTTATAATATTGTTTTGAAATACCCTAAATCAGTTCTATTGGATTAAAAATACAATGGTAAGGAGGAAGACGTAACACCTTATGTACATACTGTTCAGCCAGCATATCAGCTACATATATTTTTGGTGGTTTATTACTAAAAAAATAAAATCATTTAGAAAATACAGAAAAAGTATATTTCCATTACTCACCGTCTAACAAGGTTCAAAAGTTCAGCCTTAAACATGGTGATTCGTCAACCCCTCTTGAATTTGAACCTTAGTCGAATTACTATTTGGTGTTTTGTGTGCCAATGTGCTATGGTATGAGGTATGAAGCATTGTCCATTACAATTAAAGATGGTTCATGCTTTTTTCGAAGTAATTGTTCTTCGAACCATTTTAAAAAATGTTCATTATTCATCTCACCTGATAATCATAATCATTGCTTTTTGAAGCGAATCTGGCCTCGGCACCATCAATAAATCCATTTTCGTTTCCAGCATAAAAAAGATCAATATACAGTTAACATGTATATATTCATTAGTTTTTTTTTTATTAACCTTTTACCATCAACTTTTGTACTTTTTACACTTCTTTTATTGCTGTTTTGCCAAGAACGGTTTATGGTGCTATTTGGGAAAATCCAAGTCTCATCAATAAAAACAAACTGGTACAAATTTGCTTCATTTTCTTTGGTATATTTTCTTAAAATTCTGCCTGTTTCACAGCAATATCTGGAATTTCCATAAGACCACGCCTTGGTTCATCTTTCTGCCATTTGAAACCTATTTCTTATAATAAGGTATGCAATGATGTGCGACATCCATTGAACAACTCCTTCTCATTAAGTTTCACCAACAAGGAATCTAAACTTACATGCTCCTCTGAAATCATACATTAATTTGTAATTGTTTAATAATAATTTATATACATATACACTAGACTCGTACATGCTATAAATAACATCTCGAATAGCACTGGTATTCAGAATTCTTGTGTTGGTAACTTTCTTTTGCCTAGGGCGCTTTTTTGGTGGTGACTTTAGAACTTTACTGTTCTTTACAGCTTGTGAAATAGAACTAACAATAGAAAAAATTAGATTAAGTGCTTCTGCGACACGCTGAAACAAAATAATTATATTAATTTGACGGTGATACATTATTCATCAACTCACTTCTCTTACAGCTGTTAAAGGTAACAAAGGCCCATTATTATCACGTTCTTTCTCAAAATAATGTATTAGAAAAGCCACTAGTTCCTTGCAGTGACTATTTAATTGTTTTGGCATTTTTCAATTAAAAAATACACAATAAACGAACACCACTATTAAATTCCTAATAAATTTGTTCTGTAAAGAACAGTTTGTTAATAATTTAATTGAAAATACAAATAATTTATTGAAAAGAAATCGATCGATGCAAAATAATACAAAACAAATAACAATTGACAACAATGTATTAAAATTGAAAGCTGACACATTTGATGCCAACTTTTATTATGAAATTCACTAGAGTATTCCGTTAATAATCTGCCTACAGAATATTTACTACTGTGATATGATGAAAAATACATTTTTAATATGCAATTTTACAAAAATGAACTCCATGCGTCTAAATTTATTCATTTATTTGCAAAATAAAATTTAATTATTTTTATTAGTGTGTGTGGTACCAATGACTGTCACTGACGTCATCTCTGACATGCATCGGTTTTTATATTGAATGCTCTATACCTTGGCGAATCAACCTAGATAATTTGCTTGAAATTGAATATTCAAATCTGAATATGAATTTCGGTATATACGAAAATATTTTAAACTACGAGGGTTCTCGCAAATGTCCAAATTATGGGGGTTCTTAGAAACGCTTCCAGGCGGAAATTAATTAAAATATACATTTTTACAATTAATTAAAATTAAAATTTAGTGACTTCGTCAAACTTACTTAAAAATTTGTTCTCTCTGCGGACCTGATGGGACGCCTCGTTCTTACTATAGGTAAATTCGGACATACAAATGCCATTCCCTTCTTTAACTCTTTTAACACTTTTAACTCCAGACAACCCTTTTAGCGTTCGTTTATTCCAATTAGTGACAGTTCAACACACTTAAATGTCATTTAAAAGCACCTAAAAGACTCCGCTGCTATCCCGCTTCAAGCCCTGACTATCCAGAACTCACCTGCAGTGCCGTTCAGACTTATTGTGCAACGTTGTTACAATAATGTGTTACAATACGAACTTCTTCTTTATTCCTACCAATAATATTTACTCTATACAAATTACCTAAATTCTTTTTGCAGCACGTAAAGGATTGGATCGACCGCTTGATCGATTACAAAAATAGATCGATAGCCAAGTTGTTAAAAAACCTTGAAGGAGCCGAGGAGGATTACTTAAACAACTCTAATTCGCATACAAACCATTTGGAAAACATACTGAAAGACCAAACTAAATATGTAGAGAAACTGTATGCTCAGCATCTAAAAGACGTGGAGGAATTAATGAGATCTTCCCAAATTGAAAGTGAGAATTTGTACAAAGAAGCTGGAGAGGAACAAATATATTTGAGGACTATATTGTATAGGCAGGAGATTAATGAAAATGCTAGTAAAAAGGAGGTTGAAAACTACATGCTTAACTATTACGAAGCTGAACATGACGTAAGTTTATTGTTTTATCAATTTTCCCACACATCCCCTTTTACTGTTCTGTCACAAAACATTTTTTTGTGTGTCAAAACGATCTAACAGTTGCATAAAGTAGAACATTATGCAACTGATTGCGAAAAGTTGATTGTCCCAGTTACGAAATGAAAATAAATAAAAATGCCTCTTTTAAGGTTTTTAAATCGAAAAATCGAAAAATCGAAAAATCGAAAAATCGAAAAATCGAAAAATCGAAAAATCGAAAAATCGAAAAATCGAAAAATCGAAAAATCGAAAAATCGAAAAATCGAAAAATCGAAAAATCGAAAAATCGAAAAATCGAAAAATCGAAAAATCGAAAAATCGAAAAATCGAAAAATCGAAAAATCGAAAAATCGAAAAATCGAAAAATCGAAAAATCGAAAAATCGAAAAATCGAAAAATCGAAAAAAAATCGAAAAATCGAAAAATCGAAAAATCGAAAAATCGAAAAATCGAAAAATCGAAAAATCGAAAAATCGAAAAATCGAAAAATCGAAAAATCGAAAAATCGAAAAATCGAAAAATCGAAAAATCGAAAAATCGAAAAATCGAAAAATCGAAAAATCGAAAAATCGAAAAATCGAAAAATCGAAAAATCGAAAAATCGAAAAATCGAAAAATCGAAAAATCGAAAAATCGAAAAATCGAAAAATCGAAAAATCGAAAAATCGAAAAATCGAAAAATCGAAAAATCGAAAAATCGAAAAATCGAAAAATCGAAAAATCGAAAAATCGAAAAATCGAAAAATCGAAAAATCGAAAAATCGAAAAATCGAAAAATCGAAAAATCGAAAAATCGAAAAATCGAAAAATCGAAAAATCGAAAAATCGAAAAATCGAAAAATCGAAAAATCGAAAAATCGACAAATCGACAAATCGAAAAATCGAAAAATCGAAAAATCGAAAAATCGAAAAATCGAAAAATCGAAAAATCGAAAAATCGAAAAATCGAAAAATCGAAAAATCGAAAAATCGAAAAATCGAAAAATCGAAAAATCGAAAAATCGAAAAATCGAAAAATCGAAAAATCGAAAAATCGAAAAATCGAAAAATCGAAAAATCGAAAAATCGAAAAATCGAAAAATCGAAAAATCGAAAAATCGAAAAATCGAAAAATCGAAAAATCGAAAAATCGAAAAATCGAAAAATCGAAAAATCGAATAATCGAAAAATCGAAAAATCGAAAAATCGAAAAATCGAAAAATCGAAAAATCGAAAAATCGAAAAATCGAAAAATCGAAAAATCGAAAAATCGACAAATCGAAAAATCGAAAAATCGAAAAATCGAAAAATCGAAAAATCGAAAAATCGAAAAATCGAAATATCGAAAAATCGAAAAATCGAAAAATCGAAAAATCGAAAAATCGAAAAATCGAAAAATCGAAAAATCGAAAAATCGAAAAATCGAAAAATCGAAAAATCGAAAAATCGAAAAATCGAAAAATCGAAAAATCGAAAAATCGAAAAATCGAAAAATCGAAAAATCGAAAAATCGAAAAATCGAAAAATCGAAAAATCGAAAAATCGAAAAATCGAAAAATCGAAAAATCGAAAAATCGAAAAATCGAAAAATCGAAAAATCGAAAAATCGAAAAATCGAAAAATCGAAAAATCGAAAAATCGAAAAATCGAAAAATCGAAAAATCGAAAAATCGAAAAATCGAAAAATCGAAAAATCGAAAAAAATCGAAAAATCGAAAAATCGAAAAATCGAAAAATCGAAAAATCGAAAAATCGAAAAATCGAAAAATCGAAAAATCGAAAAATCGAAAAATCGAAAAATCGAAAAATCGAAAAATCGAAAAATCGAAAAATCGAAAAATCGAAAAATCGAAAAATCGAAAAATCGAAAAATCGAAAAATCGAAAAATCGAAAAATCGAAAAATCGAAAAATCGAAAAATCGAAAAATCGAAAAATCGAAAAATCGAAAAATCGAAAAATCGAAAAATCGAAAAATCGAAAAATCGAAAAATCGAAAAATCGAAAAATCGAAAAATCGAAAAATCGAAAAATCGAAATATCGAAAAATCGAAAAATCGAAAAATCGAAATGTCGAAAAATCGAAAAATCGAAAAATCGAAAATAAGGCAATAAATAGTGACATTTGACATTACGTTTAACAAAAAATAAAACAAAATAGAAGCTCTATATTGCGTTCAAATAATTGAATACCATTATTGAAAACTGCCCAGAAATGTTGAGGGTAAAATTTTGACGTATTCCTTTAATGATAAGGGGAAAATCGTTTTTATTTTTCACATTTCCCGCAGGTAATGTTAAAAATCAAATAGGTAACACTGCACATGTCCGTTATTTTTATTATTACTATAGAAGAAGAAAAAACGTCGTAGGGCAATCAATTTTCTGAAATATTTGATTGGAAGTACCTACAAAAGAATGATGGTAAATCATTTTTTCTACGCCCATGTCAATAAACGTTAAAAATCACGAGTGGATCATAGCAGTAAAAACTTTTGGCGTTATTTAGCTTTTGCATCCATGACGTCATTATGACGGAGCACAGAGAGCAACGAAAAAAAAACGACAGCGATAGTGCAGTGACTGGCTATATGATGACCAAATGGTGACTGCTGCAGTGCAGTCCCAGAATACGGATTTATTCTGGGGTGCAGTGCCAAAGTGCCATATATTTAATTTTAATAAATTTTTGTTTAATCCAATCTTCATTGTTAATTACATAATAAATTTGTTTTGCCATTTGACAAATCTAGGTTTAATTACAAACTTTTTAATTCAGCAACTTTTATGTAAATTATGTTTTTAAGATAATAGCAATCATATTACAAACTGGAAGGGACTAAAAAAAAAACAGTATTTGTTAATTTAAGGCCTTTTTATCTGTGAGAGTTGTATAATTGGCCTTTAATTCTTGTTCTTTCTCTGTCTTCCATTTCATGAAATCTAAAATAACAAAAATTTTACATATACGTTTTTACTGTTTTTATTTTATTTCAAAATATTGTTTACAGGTCATAAAAAATAGTTGAAAGGTATGTAATTGGTAACTAAACGATTGTATATTTGATGCATGTTATCTACTTACTTTAGGAACATATTTATAAAAGTGAAAAAACGATTTAATTTAGGTAAACAAAACGCACTCAAAAAATCAACTGTCACTTTAATTGTCAGTGGAACCATAATTACATCATCACTGAACTAGCGTATAACATACCATTACCAATAACACGGAAAATGAAATGTCACTAAATCCCGCCCACCCAAATGTGACGTCATGGATGCAAAAGCCAAATAACGCCTAAAGTTTTTACTGGTGCGATCCACTCGTTAAAAATCACACTATCAACGTTTCATGTAAATGACATTTAACAATAACATGCACGTAATGAGATCTCATAACATACACGTGCGTTTTGATAAGAAAACTTAAATTTCTTGGTTTAATCAAATTGCAATCAAATTTTTGTCTACGTAAGACTTTATGTGATCTATTTACATAAATTTAGTCATTTAAAAAACATAAAATCTTTTAGCATTAGCGAGATACATTTTGGATTAAAAGAGTGATACCCCTAAATGTCGGCAACATATTATACAATTTTTCAAGAAATATGTCGCGTTTTCTTAGCATGCTATGGAAATAAACGTCATACCATTTATATTGTCAATTTTTGTAACAAAATATGATTGTATCCGACCATTTTTTTCAACTTTACCTACGAATATGTTTGTTAGCAGTGAAAGTCATGAAATTATGAGTACTCCACCGGAGATTTTACAAAAAGCTCAAGCTGCCACATATAATTTGTTACCGCTAAAATCCAAAGAAAGGTACGAATTTACTTATCGAAAATTTATGGATTGGCGATAGAACCATAACGTTAAATCCTTTTTTGAGAATGTTTTAAGTTGGCGTAGAAAAAGTATAGGTTACACGAGTTGTAAGCCCATTACGCACTTCGTGCGTAATGGATTACTTACAACTCTTGTTACGTAATATACTACTTTAACGAAACACAATTTTATAAATAATTAAGTCAAAATTAGAAAAAATCTTGTATGTAACACGTACACGTAATAGCAATTTATATCGTCTATTCCTAACTAAGAGTCTTCCACATGGAGTTTTTATTGTATATTTTCTGTTTCCGCCTACTACTTTTGTATGCCTTAGTGTTCCCATTAAGACCAAACCAAATTACACCAGTAGCGTATCTGAGCATTTTTATTATTGGCTAACCTCTGAAAAATGGCACTCTTACCTTAGTTATTATTTCGATGGTTTCACCAATCCCTTTCATTTATTGAACAGAATTTGAAATCATTTAAAACCGAAAAGGACTAAATTATATCTATATCTCTTTCTCTTGATGATGATGATAATAATACCAGCCTAATTTTTTAAAACGTGCAGGAAACTTAATTTTACAATAAATATGCCTCTTCTAAATAATCTTTAAAAAATTAAATTTAAAACAAACATTAAAATATTTTAGGATACTTACGCTTATCTCTGACACACAGGCCAGCCACTGCACAAAACTACAAAACTTTTACTTTGTAAAAAAATCTGATGTGTCCAACACATGATTTTCCTATCTAGTTATTATAGGCTTTTTCCGGTTATTTTGTACAACCTATTGCAGCACCTCTATAAATGTTTAGAGGATAAACTAAATATATACATTTTCCACATACATCTACATCGAAACATTTTTCTATAGATATTCATTGAAAACGAAAATACTGAAAAATTTAAATTTAGCACTCACTTTTCCTACAATTTTTCCATTACGGTCCATTTTAGAAAAATCATGTATAAACAAAAATTATCGAGATCGATATCGCAAACAACTTTTAGTTCAACAATTTTCATAAAAATCAGAATTTTGCACATTTTGTCAAATTTCTCGAATTTTGACATAAAGCAAAAATTATAGATAATAATATTAGGAGTAACTTTTAATTGAACAATTTTCTTCTCTAAACATAAATAACAGATATATTCCATAAAATATAAAAACGGCCTCCGATAAAGTACCCTCCCAGATGTTCCGACTTTATCCAAAATCTAATCATTTCACTTCAGGACGAAATAAAACTTAAGTTTAAAATTTAATGTTTTTTTCTTTATCCGTTTTTGAGTTTTCTTCAAAATTCGAAATTTACACATTTTCTCAAATATCTCGAATACGGTCTATTTTAGAGAAATTATGTATAGGATAAAAATTATACACAATTATATTACAAACAACTTTTATTAAAACAATTTTTTACATTTTGTCAAATTTCTCGAATACGGACCATTTTAGGAAAATTTTGTATGGAACAAAAATTATAGATAATAATTTGGAAGTAACTTTTATTTAAAAAAATATCTTCCCCAAACGTAAATAACAGATATATTCCAAAAAATATAAAAAAAAAGCCGCCTATAAAGTACCCCCTCAGATGTTCCGACTCTGCCCAAAATCTAATCAGTTCATTGGACGCTGGAATAAAGCTTAAGTTTAAAATTTGATGTTTTTCTGTGTATCGGTTCATGAGTTATGGTGGATACAGACACACAGACACACAGACACACAGACACACAGACACACAGACACACAGACACACAGACACACAGACACACAGACACACAGACACACAGACACACAGACACACAGACACACAGACACACAGACACACACACAGACACACAGACACACAGACACACAGACACACAGACACATAGGCACACAGGCACACAGACACACAGACACACAGACACACAGACACACAGACACACAGACACACAGACACACAGACACACAGACACACAGACACACAGACACACAGACACACAGACACACAGACACACAGACACACAGACACACAGACACACAGACACACAGACACACAGACACACAGACACACAGACACACAGACATACAGACACACAGATACACAGACACACAGACACACAGACACACAGACACACAGACACACAGACACACAGACACACAGACACACAGACACACAGACACACAGACACACAGACACACAGACACACAGACACACAGACACACAGACACACAGACACACAGACACACAGACACACAGACACACAGACACACAGACACACAGACACACAGACACACAGACACACAGACACACAGACACACAGACACACAGACACACAGACACACAGACACACAGACACACAGACACACAGACACACAGACACACAGACACACAGACACACAGACACACAGACACACAGACACACAGACACACAGACACACAGACACACAGACACACAGACACACAGACACACAGACACACAGACACACAGACACACAGACACACAGACACACAGACACACAGACACACAGACACACAGACACACAGACACACAGACACACAGACACACAGACACACAGACACACAGACACACAGACACACAGACACACAGACACACAGACACACAGACACACAGACACACAGACACACAGACACACAGACACACAGACACACAGACACACAGACACACAGACACACAGACACACAGACACACAGACACACAGACACACAGACACACAGACACACAGACACACAGACACACAGACACACAGACACACAGACACACAGACACACAGACACACAGACACACAGACACACAGACACACAGACACACAGACACACAGACACACAGACACACAGACACACAGACACACAGACACACAGACACACAGACACACAGACACACAGACACACAGACACACAGACACACAGACACACAGACACACAGACACACAGACACACAGACACACAGACACACAGACACACAGACACACAGACACACAGACACACAGACACACAGACACACAGACACACAGACATCATCGCGAAAATAGTCAAAATGGAAACTCGAGGACAAAAAAAATCATGATTCCTATACTTTCCTTATATCTGTATACATATAGGAAAGTAAAAATTATTAATTCGGGACATAGAGTTCTGAAGGTAATGTCGCTGCCCTCACTCAACCTCTGGGGTAGTAAGGAAATGAGAATAATTCTTCATTATCAAGTTTTATACCTCCTATCTCAAAAACGCAATTTATCCGACGAAATTTTAAAACATTGGGTGACATTTTTTCCCTCATTTTTCTCGTTTCAAATCTTTTAAATCATACAGTATATGATTTATTAACTATATATTTTTAAATGGTTTAAGATCTATTATTAGCATGCGATGTATTAAAAACTCGAATAAAAACAGCAAAGAAGGAGACCAAGTTTTCAAGTGACCCTGTACAAAATGTTACAGCCAATTTAAATTAATTAACTCCATGCTAATTTAGTCTAATATTAATTTAAAAAATATTCCAATACTAAAGTAATAATTTTCGATGCAGCCTACAACAGAACAATTTAGGTCTTAGCTTATATTGGAAATACAGGGTAATCCCACTATAAAGTAACACATTTTAACAGCTTAAAACTCAAGAATAAAAAATATATCGACGTGTAGTTTTCGCTAAACTTCTTACATTTGCTTTTTGTTGACATAGTTGCCAAATGTACATTTTTCCAAGAAATTGCTGAAAAATAATTTTTACATTGTCGATTATTAAATTTGAGTGTGTTCGTTCTTGATTTACTTCACATAAATTATTTGACAAAGATGGGATGAAACAAGATGCTGCTGACTTGCCAGGGAGCTTTTAAGTTATCCTGACAGCACTACAATAAACAAATATTTGACTACGACTAGACAGAATCTGCGCCTGATCACAGGCATTCTGACTGGACATTGCCAACTACGGAATCATCACCATATCATGGGGCTGTCACTCTGTAGGGAGTGCGAACAAAAAGATGAGACCATCGAGCATATCATCTAGGATTGCCCGACCCTCTTATTTATTAATAGACTTGTGTTCGGCGAGAATTGGTGACGTTGTCAACTACATTAAATCTGTACGCTCGCTCATGAGCTAAGAGGTACCTATCTACTTAGGAGGATGCACAATGGGCCTAGTGAGGCATAAGTGCCGTGGGTAAATTCACCTACCACACGTTACAGATACAGAAGGTACATTCAGATAGTATAAAAAATATAGGGTGTTCTATTTAAAATAAACCGATAAAAAATATACATTTGTCAACTATGTAAACAAAAACTTGAAGCAAATGTTTAGCGAAAACTGCACGTCGATATCTTTTTCCATTCTCGAGTTACAAGCTGTTAAAATGTGATACTTTATAGTGGGACGCCTTGTATTATTTGAAATCAGTGAATCATTTCTTTTAAAATAATACCTGTAACCAAAGACTTTTTAATTAGCCTCCAATTTGCAACTTTAGTGTAGGTATATAAAAATTTAGTCGTAGGATTGATTTGTGTCCATGGACACTATTGTTCAGGAACTAAACAACTACATCAATGCCCGTTTCTCCATAAGACAGGTCTTTAATTGTTGAAATAAATTAAACGATATGCTTGCATAAATATATTAAATATCATAATCATAACAAATCCAACGAGTCAAAATTATTAATAACAATGCCAATATTAACAAATGTCATATATACAAAGAGTCCAGCTTGTTCAAAATGGTAGAGATCCAGCAGGCCAATCAGAGCAATTCGATCTCCCTTTGTCAGCCAGGCATTTCACCAGTTTGTTCGAATAGGAACAGATGTCCAAGTTGTCTTCTAAAAAATAATATAAAAAACAATTACAAAAATAAAAGCAAAAATACGGCAAAACAAATATCTGCAGTCTAAAGTTAACAAAAAAAATGCTTATGAAGTTAATATAAAATATATCTTGCGCTTTACCATATCGCTTCTCCGGGGAAACAATGACGCAAGTGCAAATTTTGTCTTTGTTCAAATAAATACGACTTCAGTTCGAAATAAAAATATTTTGTCTGGTGGAACGACATAAATTTTAGTAATACCTTCTGTTGGAATTGTTGCATCATTGTTCAGATAAAGCCATAAGCAGAACCCTTCTGTGGAGATGCTAAGGTATTATGCTACCATCAAACAATTGATGCAAAAAGTATAGTACAAGTTGTTTGTACGCAACCTATAATAAATACTAAAGGAATTACAGGTTGCTAATACACTAAGAGAAGTCAGGTTAGTTTAGAGCGAGAACGTGACCATTGTAAATCAAAGTTTGTTTAAAGTTAATATGTAAATAAAATTTAAAAAAATATAAGTAACTATTATTACACGGCATAGGTGGTAGTCTCGGGATAAGACTGTTCAAAAAATTAATTAAGGAACCGAAAGATCTACTGAATCAAAAACTACAAACCGTCATCAATTCGGCAGAAAAAGAAACATTGTGCAGGTTCTGTGAAAAAAAGAGGAAACATCAATCCACATCCTGTGCCAGTGTGAAGGCTTGGGTAGACTAAAGTTTCTAACAATAGGTGAAAAAAAATTCAGACGCAGGATGCATACTTTAATTAAATACTGCTACTCGCCATTTAATTCACACCTGTACGGAAGAAACAATAGATCATTTTTGCTTCTTTAGTAACAGTACTGACAATTTTGACACGAACGTTTAGTTTCAGTATCACGGTGGTTAAAATGTCATTCTCTGGAAGTGGAAGTACCCAAAATGTCAAAACTATTAAATTTTATATAAAAGGACAAATAATGTCCAACTGCTTTTAAATATAATCTAATCAATGTTCAATTACGCGTTGTCAGTCACCATTTTCCGTTGAACTACGACGTAGCGGTCAGTCTTTACGCTCTTTATCTTTATCTTTGTCGGTTATAAGCAGGTAGGGTTAGGTTTGGCCCAGAACACTGCGACCTCTTGGGTCTATTGTATTCCCCTGTTTCCTCGTATTCAGGTACAATCTTTGGAATAGTTCTAGACCGAAAAGGATGAAACGTTGCATAGTAAAAGCTTCGCATTCGAAGATCACATGGTATGAGGTTTCTTCCTCTTCCATGCAGGGTCTACACGTAGTGGGATCATTGTGTAATCCCATCACATGAAGGTGTTTCAGCAAGCAGTGCCCCGTTAGTAATCCCACGATGGTGGATATCTGAGGCCTTGAGAGTTGTAGTGCCTCAGTAGCCATGCGTGGGTTTGGTCCCCTTAGCATGAGCTTACTGAATCTGTGCCCTCTTATCTGTTGCCAGTGAATTAGGTATTTTGTGGTTATCCACCTGTTCACTGCCTGTCGAGCAGAGGTTTTGCTTATCCCAAATACAGGTTCGGGTCCTGTGAATGGTAGATCTGATCCCTCTTTGGCGAGTTCATCAGCCTTTTCATTTCTTTGGATACCTTTGTGCCCTGGTTCCCACGCTAGTTTTACCATGTTGTGGGTTGTCAGATCATTTAGTATTCCAAGGCAGTTCCAGACAAGCTTTGACTTGATTCTGTTTGAATCAAAAGCCTTTAAGGCTGCTTGGCTATCTGAGAGAATTAGGATGGTTTGTTTTTGTACTTCCTTCTTAAATTCTCTCGTACACATAATTCGATTGCATGTATTTCAGCCTGAAGTACAGTGGTATGTTTTCCCAGTGAGAAGATGATGTCGCATTTGGGTTTAACTCCATGTATGCCAGAGCCTGTTCCATTGTTAGTTTTATACGAGTCCACTAAGCAAGTATTTATCTATCTCCTTATTTACCTCGTTCCAGTTGCAGTTGACCTGGAAGAGTCTGTTGAAGATTAGGAGTGGTGTCATGTAATCTGATCCCATGTTTAATATAGAATCATTTACTTCATGTGTTATTCTGCTATGTTCTATATGTGGGTTCCAGTTGTTGGAGATTTCTAGTCTGTATGCACTCATTCTGGCCTCCTCCTTTATGACTAGGTCTAGGGGTGGGAGGTTTAGAATGATTTCCATAGAGGCTGCCGGTGTACTTCTCAGTGCTGCTGTAATACAAAGGCATGCCAGCCTCTGTACTCCTGAGAGGGTATTGAGGGCTGTTTTCTGGTTTACTTTTGGCCACCAAACAATCGCTCCATAAGTTATCATGGGTGTTGTTATTGCCAAATATAGCCAGTGGGCCATTTTTGGTTTTAATCCCCATGTTTTTACAAATGCCCGTCTCACTACAGTAAGAGACATTTTACATTTGTTGGTCACTTTTTGTAAGTGTTGGTTCCAAGTAAGTTTGCTATCTAGGATTAGACTCTTTTTTGAGAGTTCCAGTTCGTGTGGGTTTGGTTTGCTGCATGTGCGTTTGTTGTGCAATCAGGGAAATGAGTTTTAAGAAGTAGTTCTGTTTCCATTCCAATTTTAGTGTATTCCCCTGTTTGGGTTTTTAAAGTCCCCACAGGATTTATTGAATCTTTTGCTAGAATGCGGTGGAGTCTGCATCCTTCAGTTGTATTTTCAATTTCCTGACAGAATATTCTCCATGAATCCCTCTTAGATTTCCTAAGAGTTTTGTTATACTCTGTGAGTGTTTCGGTGTATTCCCCCACTCATTTGTCTTTTTAGTCTTATTAAAAAATTAATGTGTTTTCTTTCTGAGTTTGGCGAGTTCGGTGTTTCACCAGCTCACCTCCCTAGAAGTTTTCCTGTTCTTTAACGAGCAGTTATTGTGATATGATGTTATGATTGCGTCAGCTATATCATTTTTTGTATTAAGAGTTATTTTAAGGGTTTTTAACACTGCCCCCAGCTCCACTCCGTATCCAAACCAATCGGTATTTACGCTACAACGACGTAAGTTTATCAGAGTATTGTTAACGTTTGTAATAAATTTTGTATTAGGTCCTAGTGGCAAAACGACTTAAGTGACAGTTGCGTAATTTCTCAATTAACCCACAATTTTCCATTGGAACAACGTAGTAATTTTCAATTTTCTAGAAGAATTGTAAAGTACTTAATTTTTTTTCTTAAAAACAAAAACAAACTAAGTTTTCTAGAGAGAAATGACCATTCAATATTTGCAGGCTATTCCTTAATTCATTCTAACATAATTCCAACAATGTAATTAAAATTTTTAAATAATATTTCTAAAGAACTGTGTTGTAGTCACTTGCGTCAATGTTCTACTTTTAATTTTGTAACTACTATAATGGCAAGCAATAGAGTCTTGTATTTGCAATAGTTAACTACTAACCATCGTTTACTTCTTGATAACATTCATCAACTGTGTCTTGTAAAAAATTTCGAAGCTCCCTTCCATTGACATCTTTAAGAAGTCTTTCTACCAGTTTAGAATGATCTGGTAATCCATTTAAATCAGCCTAAAAACATTTCTATATTATCGTTTTGTCACAGATTACTCACAAGTTGTGTTACGAATTTTATTAACAATATGTTACAAATCATGTTATGTAGGTCCATAATAAAAAAATGCTTTCATAACAAAAAGAACAACTGTGAACTCACCAATTCCATTTGATTTAGAACACAATGGATTATACAATTTTGAGATGTGTCTGTTCCAGTGGATCTTGTGTCTTCAGTTGCATTTGCATTATCTTTATCAGACGTGGAATCATCATCTTTTTCGGTAGAAGTAGAAACATCTTTTTTACTAGAACGTTTGTTTCTAGAAGACTTATCAGATTTAGAATCTAAAATGATTAAATTATCTGTAGTTGAATATTTTATTTTAATAAAGAAAAGGAATTTTATAATAAAGATTTCCCAAAACACAAAAATATATAAAATTATAGAAAGCTAGATTTTTCATATTTTTAAAAAATTTCCAATAATTATCTCGGTACCTTAGACATGATAATTAAGTGGTAATTAATATCTGATTGGATGCTATTTAAAAAATCCGGTTTATTAATATATGATTTTACAAGGTTGGGATAAAATTAAAAATAGGTAGGTGGAATTATCTCTAAAATAAAATGTAAAATATAAAAGCAGGAGAAAAAGGCTTTCATATTTACATTTTTTTTTATATAAACACTTTCTAACAAGCTTTCATATTTATTATAAACTCACTTTTGGACACTGATTGAATCTTCTCTTCCTCTGACGATTCCGACGATTCAAAACTAGTTGGCGCTGCACTCATTTCCCATATTCTTTCTAATGTTTCATTATTCTTTACGCACTTACTTAATGCTTGCTTGATTTTGTCACCATTTTTTTGTCCAATTTCGCATTTCAACGCCTAAAGTACAATAAATTTGACAATTTAATTTTATGTAATATTTAATTTTTTAAATTAATTTAACGCTGTGTTGACATAGCAGTGGTTAGAAAGAAATCTTAATGCTTTGAAAATTGTACTAGTTTATGAATTTTTATCATTGAAATATACCTAGCTGCTGGCCGGATAGAGAGATCACTGAATATGGAAGGTGATTTTGATAGACGACCTTTCCCAAGCTAAACTTTGCAACAGAAGTGAAGTACCTAGCTCTTACCGCAAGGTAACATGGAACTAACACTTATAAAACAAAGTCAAAAGAGCATACATTGCTTATGAACAATGCCGCCGAACCGTGGGGCACACCTGGGGTTTCTTCGCCAGAATTATCGCATGGATTTACACGGCCACCATAAGACCTATAGTAACACACCGTGCAGTTGTATAGGTGCCGAAAACACAAAAATGAACTGCTATCTGCAAACTAGAACAAATTCAAAGAACAGCATGTCTCAACATAACAGGAGCCATGAAAACATTAAGGAGATTGCTTTGATGACAATAACACGCCTCCGCACGGTTGGAATAGAACCAAATGTAGGAACTGGTGAGGCCAGATGTCGCTTTTGGCAGAAGGTGCTCGATACGTTTCCACTGCTTCAAGCGAACATGGACTCCATCTCACCGAGATATATCTTCCGTAAGCCATATAGAGTTATAACAGAACAAACAGAAGAACATGGACTCCATCTCACCGAGATATATCTTCCGTAAGCCATATAGAGTTATAACAGAACAAACAGAAGAGCCGGAAGTGGCAGGTACGATTCATGACTACACCGACGATTCTAAAACAAAACATGGTTCAGGATGTGGAATATACTTCAGAAATCCCGGAAATAATATCACTGGAAGAAACATGCTCATCTATACAGAATATACAGATAGCAGACAAGCACTACTCACCCTGAACAGACCACGAATTTATTTAAGGTAAGTACTAGAATGTCACGAAGTTTTGGATGAAGTATCCATCAACAATGTGGTCAATTTAAGATGGATTAAAGGATTAAGGGATTCAATATCATGTTTTTCATTTATAAGACACATTATATGTATTGTTTTACATCATATTTATGATATTGTTTTCAAATAAACTGATATTTATCAATAAAACTAAGCTAATGTTGATAATAATTCATATTTATTGACACATAAATGTTCGGACAAATCACATCAATAGTCATAGTTTTAACAAGCTTTTCGCAATCTTCCGCGGTAAAAGAATCCCATATATTTTGCAATTTTACCCGCAAATCATAAATGTTGCGCTGTGGATCATTTCTTAATTGCTGCTTCATCTTGTGCCATACAGTTTCGATTATATTTAGATCAGGGCTGCTGGAGGGCCAGTTAAGGACGGAAATATTGTTGTCCTGCAGCCACTTTTTTGTGATGTAGGCTGTATGGCAGGAGGCGCCATCTTGTTGAAAAGTAAAGTTTCCATCAGGTGATAAAATTGGAATTGACACTAACAAATTGGTTTCAAGAATCTTCTGATATTTTTCTGCGTTTACAATTCCGTCTATAAAGTGCAGTTTTCCAACACTGAAACCAAACATGCTTCCCCATACACCTGATGGAAATTTTATTTTTCTCTTTAGGCAGTCTTTGTGAAAGGCTTCAGTTTTGTTTCTTATAACACGTGATCGATGGTCAGCCACCAAACATCAAATTTTGATTCATCGCTAAAAATGATTATTTTCCAGTCTTCAAAAGTCCACATTGCCCGTTCCTTTGCCCACGCTAATCGTCTTTTCTTTTGTTTTTCCGTCAGCAACGGCTTTTCTTTTGCCTAATCCAATGATTTCACTGAATAAATATGAGATTTTCCTTAAACGTGTAACCTACGTACCTTATAAAAATGTAAACCTGACTTATGGGTCCAGTACTTCGGCGATCAGTTTTACAAATCCGAACAAGAGATCTTTGCATTCGGAAAGTGACTTTGCATGGCCGACGAGCACCATGTCTTGAAATTTGAGTTGAACCCGTTTTTCCATATTTTTTCTCAATATCTGACACCGTGGACTTTGCGACATTTATTTGTTTAGCAATATCCCGAAAGGTTTTTCCTTGGTCAAACAGGTTTACTATTAATTCTCTAATTGCACCATTTGTTGCTTTACCTAGCGACATTTTGGAGCCAATTGATAATCGAATTAATTCTCAAGTTAAAATGTCAAAATAGAAACACTTTTTTTTGTTTCCATGGCTTGCTATTATTTGTTTTACTAACGTATCCGAACATTTATGTGTCAGCAAATATTGCATTTTTATCAACATTAGTTAAGTTTTATTAATCAATATTAGTTTATTTGAAAACAATTTCATAAATATGATGTAAACAATACATATTACTTATAAATGAAAAACATATAATATTGAATCCCTTAAGGAAATTTTAAAACTTTTTCGCAAAATCAGTTGATGATAACATTTTTGTGTTAGGGCTCGTATATCATTTGACAGGCAAACGAAAGATCTACCATCTTATACTTATACATATATAAAATTTCACTTACTAGTACAGAAAGTTTTTCTGCCAATTAAAGAATTTTGATGTTATATAAAGAATTTTTTTTATTTTACCCCAACCTAAATTAGATTAGTGCAACATGTAATTCCTAGGGCTAGCTGATAAAGCACCTTCCAGGCATGATGTTTGTGAGTTACACTTTTTGAAAGATGTTAAATATAAAATATTATGAGACGAAAGTAATTAATGGTACTGTAAGTTATTGATGTAGCCAACCAGTTTATTAAAAAAAAAAAAAATGAAATGTGTTTTAGTTTGCCCTCATATTTATTTAGGCATCACTCAAAAATTAAGCGTATTTACCAAATTTCGACGTTTATCGTTATTAATTTGCATTTTATTAAGATAAGATTAAATAAATAATACGTAGTAATTAATTTTCTCTTTTACGTTTTATTGAAGTTTGTAATTCTTTTTTAAGGGTATTACAAATAAAACATCCGGTAATTCTTGAAATATAATGGATGATTCTACAAATTTATTATATTAACTTTCTTACGTACACATGGTGTAAGGATACAGGTGAAGCGGTGCGCAGGTTTTATGACGTCAACATCGGTATTTCCACGGCCGCCTATACACTGCCATGCCATTCTATGGATTTGTTTACATTTTGTAATGATTGTCAAAACGTTGTATTTTTATTTCCTAGTTCTATAATCATTATAAAACTGAAAATATATTTAGAAGAAAATAACAGCTGGTCAAATAACATCATTTATGCTCAATAATACAAGAAAGTCACTATAGGCAGATAGACGCTTGTGCAAAAGTAATGCCAAATAAAAAATATTTTGTTTTTATACAAAAAAAGTAGGTAATTTATTTCGAATTTAGCCATGGTGTAAGGAATTTAGCTTAATATAGTTTCTCTTTGGCATAAAAAAGATAGTGTTCATCTGAAACTGAATTTTTCCATCACAAAACTTGAAGAGGATGTTTCATCTAGGATTTAAATCTTCATGCCTAGCATCGCTATCTGATAGATTGAGATCAAGATGATAGCCAAAACGTACCTACTTACATAGACATCACCATTAAAAAGTTTTAGTGGCTCAGTAGGGATAAAAACTAGAACTAATAAAAGGCATAGGTATACAAATAACTAATGTGAAACTGAAATATGTGGTGTACCTTGTATTGTGTATAGCGAAAAATGTTAAACCATCTGCCAATTAATAATAAGAAGTGCCGACTCATTAAAAATGTTTAAAAAGCAAGTTAAGAAACTCTTGCTCAAAAAGGCATACTACAAAGTGTGAATTTTTCTGTGATCCCTTGAATTAAGTAGTTAATTTTAATTTATTTGTATACTCGTATATATATTTCCCGATTGTCATATTTGTACTTAGTGTTGTGCATATGTATTTTTGTTTTTATATTATATTTTGTCTCGATATTAGAATTTTTAAAAAATTTAAAACAAACTTTTATTTATTTCTTTTCCTTTGAATTTTAACTTGTTATCTACCTTTGTTAATAAGAATGTAATTCAACAATAAAGAATTTTGAATCGACTCAAATAAACTTGTGTATAATGTTAACAAATGCTGAACAATAAAATTAAGGTGAAATGAATTATTAACAGTATATTCTTTTAGTCGCTGATTTTCTTAAATAATCAGTATGAAAGTATGCAGTTACTTTCATAGATTATAAATGTAAAAATTTAATTTTAAATTAGTCATCAATTATGGCCATCAATAACTTGTATGGTTGGGTGCTGGTAAACCCCTTTATGTATTTAATAAACAGAAACACTTGACAAAACATGCTTTATTTTAATAAAACGAACAGAGGTGTTATTTTAAATTGATTTATTTATGTTTAATAATGTTTATAAATGGTTGATACATAATGTTTACTTCTTTATCTTGATTAACACTTTATAATGTATATTTCTTTGGCCCGTGGAGTTCTAGGAGTACCGGATTTTTCCGTTACACTCCTGCGGGTACACATCTAGTCCAATAGAGACCTTGATGAGCCTCCCTCTACCCACGAGGTGCAGTCTCTTCTTGAGAAAGAAGGAACTACACGCCGAACATCCATCCTCCCCCCACGATGCGGCAACTACTTGCCTGCATCACCGCTCTTCCGCGGGGGCCCTCAATTAAATAAGTGTAATCAGGGATATAGCCCGTAGATTTCACAAGGTACCTGAAACATAGGAACTACTAGTTTTTGCTGATGCAATCAATAAACAACTAATACTACTGTTGATATTTTTGGTGGGACAAGCCCCGTTTTTTTTTTTTTTTTTTTGTTTTTTTTTTTTTGTTTTTTTTTTTTGTTTTTTTTTTTTTGTTTTTTTTTTTTGTTTTTTTTTTGTTTTTTTTTTTTTGTTTTTTTTTTTTGTTTTTTTTTTTTGTTTTTTTTTTTTCTCTCTTGAATTACATTGAGAGTTGTTTTGAGTAGAACA